GAAGTTTCGAGTGGTGCCTGGTTTCCGTTGCCATGAGTACTGTTCGACTCTCGTAGGTACCGTCAGTTTTCGTCCGGCCTTCTACCACAGTTGGGGAAGACAACCTAGATGGAGATGTGGCTGATTGCGGTTCAGGGGAAGCGGATTGTTCAGCATTCCGTTGCTTAGAAGCCGCTACGCTTCTGTGGCGCATACTCGCTTCCATTGAAGTCATCTTATGGTTGATCCTCTGCTCGGCTTCTGCGGTTAAGCGGTCGCGCTTCTGAACTAGGATAAGCAAGCACTTAACGATTAAGATGGTGGAGCACGCAGTACAGAACCAAAGCGTACCGTGAGCTATTTCGCTCTCGTACCTATTGTTGGAACATGTTTGCACATTTCGGATGCTATCGTTCCAAACAGTGCGAGCAAGCCAAGTCTATTTTAACTAAGCGATGACATTCTCCTAACCCGCAAATGCCTTTCGCTTGGAGCTTTTTCGGATTCGCGTTTCTGCCATTCAACGTGGTGCCTTTACCTGACCCATTGGGTTGGTTTGCGTTCTGTACTTTTCCAGCTTTGTATGTAAGTTGGCAGCAGAAGGAAAACGTGTAAGAAGTGTAGTATTCTCGACAAATAACGCGAAGCAGGCTCCAGCGTAAGTAGAGCAGTTGGGCGTGCCTACGCGCGTATTTAAAATCAATACGTTTTGAACCACCGTCAGTCATTGATTATTACAACACGTGACACCGTTCCTTACCGGTATTCTATAACTCACATTAAGGACACAACAGTTAGCCTATATGGCATTCGTGTGTTCTCGAAAATACATCTGCTACAGGCTTACCACAAGATCCCGGCTGCGGACAAAGATATACCAAAACTTCATAGATTCTGTCAATAGTAGATTATCGATAGACAATATACTGGTGCCTAGCGTAATTGATGAAACTCATCAACAACACCTCAAAATCTTGTTTGAACGACTCGTAGTCAATAACGATCCTGATGAGTGTCCTTTTCAGCAGTCGTCCACAGATCTATTTGGTCATCGCATGGCATACAGCCCTTAGACGCCAGGGTCCGATCGATCTGTGATTTCCATTTCTGATACGGCAGCTGCCGTTCGCCGTTTCGAGGCATGATCAATTATTATCGACGATTTCTACCACATTGCGCTGAAATACTCATCCTGCAGATCGACCTACTCCGTGGCCCCAAAACGCCGCTATGGAAGCTTGTAATGCTTGTAAGGAGGCCTAAGCTGCCTCATTTATGCTCCATCACTTGACGCTAATGCACCGCTTAGCGTCCCTGTCGGCATATTGGACTCCGCCATCGGTGCCGTTCTGCAGCAGTATACCGAAGGGTGTTGGAAGCCACTTGCAACCAGCGGAACTCAACTACAACACGTCACAATGAGACTGGGCCTTAACGTGGTGCGACAGTTTGCCTACCTCTCCGATCCATTGAGCCGCCGGGACACTTGACAGCCACTTCTACCAGGTTGGTCAATGGTTAATGGTCAGACAATCTCAGTCTCCTGGTCCTCCAAGTTGGAGGTTTGAAATGGGATAGCGTCCATTTATGTAAAACTGAATCGTCACCACCTCCCTGTTGTCTTTCGGATAGGCTTTTGAGCCAAATGCTTTGGTTGAGGACCCTATTCGTCCCCTGGTCTAGATCTGGGTGCCCTGGCGGTATCTCAGTCCATGTACAACCGTGACTACTTCCTCAAACTCCAACCACATCCTCCATTGGCCGTCGCGCAGCTTATCAAGTGTCGCCTTATCTGATGTACACAGCAGGGCGAATAAGCGAAAACATACTACTGCTGGCGCATCCTTTCTTTTCTGCTTGTTTTTCTTACTCCCCTCCCTCATTCATAACCCTCCTCGCAGTTTAATTGACAGCAAACGCAATGCCACTGGAGTCATACCATCTGCAGCTACCTTCCCGCACCACCTACTGGACGCCTATCAGCAGCCGCCCCACACTGTCCGGTTTCGTTGGTGGCGTTAAGCGTTCGCAATCTAAGACAAACCGGTCAATAGACTGCGCTTGCACTCACGTTAGACACGCTGGGTGTTGATGTGTTGTGTGTCCGAAACTAGCATCAATGATCCTCATGGAATTGTTGAAGTAACTGCGCCCGGCTCGTCCTCTCGCTATTGATTGCACGCATCCAGAGCCGCTGATGCGGCAATCACTGGTCAAGTGAAGATGGGCATCATTTTCAGCTCCAAGGCTGAGTCATTGTTGCTTGACTGGACTACCGTGAACAGCCGTTTGTGTGCAGCCCGTCTGACGAACTCAACTAAGGTTGATTCGCAAAGTAGCGCTAAAAGCTGTTTGTTTGTGGTTACCGCTTATGCTCCCACCGACTGCAGTCCTTATGGTATCAAGGACACCTACAACTAACAAAACACACTGCTTCGCAGTCTTACCAGTTCATATATCGTTGTTGTTGCTTAGGATATGAGTGCGCAAGTACGTCGCCTGAGCTCTTCAGAAACTCAGCTAAGTGGTAAGTACGGACATTGGCGAGTGTCTGTTGCAACTGCGCGGAGCGCCGAAGGGCCACTTAATGTCTATATAGCGATGGACCCAAATAGACCACGTTGCCGTAAGTTACAGGTGGCGTGGTTCTAGCTAGATTGTCGCTCCTTCTGGAACACTTGCGTCGAATCTGATCACGCTTTGGTACGCTGTTGTCCTTACATGAATTAACCGGGAGGAGTATCAAACGCCTCTTTCGATTGGCGACTGAGAAGTTATCTCAGCCTTCGATCGCGCAAGCGTACAAGGATGCCCTGCGTACCGAACTTTCGTCCTCTCGTCTCGATGATATTGAGCGTCAATGGAATAGAAACGGCACAATGCGAGAACCTCTGCTTGTGGCACTACCAGTCGTTACTGCACCAGTCACCGCATGTCCTCGGAGCCGGTGCAACTGTTGGAATCCCTGCTGCGCTCATGAGATAGAGGCGGCAGAAGCAGGCAATTATCTCAAGCTCTTGCTTTTGATCCGCACCACTGGTCTCAGTAAGCCAGGCGTCAGTGAATAAGGGATTGCACAGGCGCTGTGATTCGAAGGGACTTACGCTGGCTCGTTGGGCTTAATACTTTCGAGAGCAACTTATTTGCCCCCCCCCTTCTTCCTGGTCTCCTTTTGTTCGGATGATGTAGACTGAGTCATGGTCGAAGACCGAGGTCCTAACGCGATCTCAGCCCTTAATCGTTTTCATGCTGCTGACTCGGATTCCCTCACACCCGCACTATTTAATGATAATGATGAGGTCCTCCGTGAAGCAATAAGTCAAAGTCTAGGCCTCGATCAAAAATCGATTATTCATAAAACACTAGCTCGTTTTATATCTCGTTAATTAGAACCACTCACAAATATAGAACACATATCCTTGTTATTTCATTCTCGGCCAGCGTTCGACCTTCGTACATGTCGATCTAAATTGATCGATCAGTTCGCCTCTTGTAGCGATCGACCGTCTTACAGAGTGTTGGCCCGAACTCGTTTGCCTCGATCGATGTGGCACCTCACCACCACTGCAAAGTACTTACCTCCATGTTCGAACAGCTCTGGAGGAAGGGGACCATTTCAGTTAACTGGAGTGAACCGATTCTAGTGGCAATATACAAAAAAGAACAGCCGTTGCACTGACTTTGTCAACCACAGGTGTATTAGCCTAACACCAGTGGTGACAAAATTAGTGGCCCCAATCCTGGTTCGTGCCTTTATTGAGTAACGGGAATCACGGGTTAGGGAAGAGCAAGCAGGGATGCGCCCAGAACGGGGCTGTGTTGACCATATGTTCACTTTGCGGCAGGTGCTAGAGCAGCGTCACACGTATCGCAGACCGACAATAGCTGTATTCCTCGAATTTAGGTGTGCGTTCTACTTAGTCTGTTCGAAATGCTTGCGAGGAAGTGTTCCCATGAAATATGTGAACATTTTACGTACGCTGTACTGGAACACCAAAGGCCGCGCCAATGTCTACGGTTAACTGTCTGATATCTTTCCGACAACAAGCGGCATTCTTCAGAGTTGCCCAGTTTCCCCAATTTTGTTGAACTTCGTCCTAGACTCCATCATATTAGTGCCAAAGTAGATCCAATACGAGACGTCTCAACAACCATGCCCAGCTCAGGTCACGCGTTCACACAGGTCGCCAGCATCTTCGATCGGCAAGCGCTTGTTGACCCTAGGTCACCGGACCGAATTCAGCACATTCAAAGTTCTACCGGATAAAACCGAAGCTTAGTGCTATCGATCAGCCTCAAGTTGCCCTGGACGTAGGAACGTGATTTCCGTTTTTTCCTTACGTTTGTTTGCAAGTTTGCATTGCTTGACAGTTATGGTTTTCGGCAGTGCATCTGCCGAGCTTCGTCTTGCTGTAATAATAAATAATGTCAGCTGTACGCCGTAACGACGCTTCGCTGTCGTGAGACCATCACCAGTCGCACGCAGGTTGACTACACCACGAGGACGCCCGACCCTACGCGGATTCAAACCCGCGCCGCAAGATTACAAGACAAGCTCGTTACCTCTAGGCTACGGGCCAACTCGTCTTGCTGTGCTCTTCCGATTGTTTAGGGGAACTAATTGCTTCAAATTTCTCAGTTAGGGTATTAACATGTCAGTTACTTTTCTTTAATTTTTTGATCACATGGCTTAAGGTGTTAGAAAGTAGAGCAACCTTCCGTACGCACCGGTGAGAATCGCCCCGGTCCGCGGTTCAGGCTACATAGACGTTGGAACGCTGTGCTGATAACCTAGCCATCCCACGAAGAAACAGCGATTTTGCCATGTGAAAATGCGTGTCGTTTGCATGTCACCTATATTTGTAACCAAGGCCCAGAGGGCTACACACCAGTGAGCTGTAAATTTAGATTTATACTTGCTTCCAAAATACAGTATTCAGCAAGCGACCTTTCAATACACCAGCGCTCTCTGCAGGCCACCCTACGCACCCGTTCTCTAACAAACCTCTCATGCGTTACAGTCATCGGACCGGTTCTTTCATTCAAGGCCGAAGAGCGACATCAAGAAGGGAATCACTGCCAGTGCCTGAAATGCCAGCCTACTTGGAGGAGAATGCAGATCTTTTCGAAGTGGATGAGAGCCGAGCGGCTCCTAAACTGAGAACACAAGTTTGTACCAATGACGGAACGGATGGTGATGGACTGGTTTCAAGGTTATCGAGTTTTCTTGAACGTTCATTTTTCTGGTAAACTTTTGACCTCTTCGTTGCAGTTATATTTTTCCAGATAAATGCACAGTTTTCAATGATATCAGATATTTATTTCTTATAAAGAGAAACCATTTCTATACAGCGCACCTTTCTAGTCCAGTCAAGTATGCGCCTTGTGCACAATAGCCGGCGAGAAACCCACCATAACTCTGCAGAAAAGTATAGGCGGTATCCAGATTAATTACGCACTTTGGAAAAGAGCATTTCTGCTGCACAGAATGGGTACCATCTAAATATCTTAAATAAACACGAGTATTAATAGAAAAGCGAAAGTTTCGGCGGAATTTGGCCATGCACAAGCATCTTTCCTCCGAAGGGACCTTTCGTTCCTAGGTTTCTCGAAAAAGCACCCTAACGTCGACGCCGGAGTCGGGTTCGGGATTTGTACAATGAGTACCGGT